TAAAAAAAAGAATGGGCTTGGGTGTGCAGGAGGAAGAGGTTAGTCCATTCGGGCCTTCAGTGTCCGGGTGGTGATTTTGTCCTTCTCAATGATGTGGACAACGACTCCCATGCCGGACACTACGTCCCAATCCACAGCATTCAGCATGGCTTGGGAGATGGTTTCAAATAAGTGTTCTGGATCCATGTTGGGCTCCCAGAGGGACTTGCACATCCCATACATTTGTTCAGTGCATGTGCCACTGACCACAAAGTCATCAGTCACCATGGGGCAGCCAATGAGGACCAGAGAGCAAATGAATGGCTTAAAGGTCTTCGGGTCCAATCCAGCAATGACAGGTTCAGTGTAGTAGGGTCCAAACTGCTTCTCATACAAGAGGTTGGCCACCATGCTCATGAGAGTGTAAGGCTTGATCTGCAGACCTTCCTTCAGTTCATACAGGTTCAGCCAGAATTTGAGGCGCTGGGCAATGGTCTGGACGTCAGTGGCGAGCCCCGCCAGGCTGATGTTCAGACGGTCTCCCATGGGAAAGATCTTCTGGAAGTCTGTGGTCACCATCTGGGCCTGGATCCCGAAGCGCCTGTCGTCAGCAATGGCCACACAATTCTTCCCTTTCATGGCCATGACGCCCCCTCCATTATAGGACATAATAGACATGACTGCAGTGTGATAGGACCCCCAATCTTCACCACGATTCCAGTAAACTAGTTCTTCTACCTATAGTCTTATGTATTGCAGAGGCTCCGCATGAGTGAGCATTTTTAAAAAAAAAACAACAACAACAAAACCCTTGTCTTATAATTAAAAATATAAAATTATTTTTTTGGGGGGTAAAAACCAAAAGGACTTCTGAATGTATCAGCATAGTCCTAGTGTGGCACTGTGGGTTAATGTGCTGAACTGAAAAATTGGTTTGAACCTCTAGGTTGGTGGTTTAAGCTCACCAGCTACTCCTTGGAAACAGTACACAGGGTTGCTATGGGTTGGAATCAACTCAACAGCACTTAACAACAACAAACCATTAATCTTATGTCACTGAAATACTCAAAAGCTTCTAATCCCCAACCCTCCCAAAAAATACAGGGAATGGAAGCAAATACTGTTAAATGATGATGTATGGAGACTGTAATCATTGCAATGAAACGATGAGCGTAAAACTGATGTTTACAGGGGCAAGCTATCACTCAATTCACAATAAAAAAAAATTTTAAGTTTCTAAAATGAGAGGGTTTTTATGAAAAGGCATCATTCTCTTAACATAGGAGAAGGGAACTGAATACATCTTTAAAAACTAAAACAAAACAAAGCCATTATCCCATAAAAGAAAATCAATGGAAACAAAAGAAAAGCAGGTTAATTGGTGGATTCCATTTCTTTAGAAGCGATACGATGCTATTCAAGAATATCATCAACAATAAAATGATGAAATAGTTAATGTATCAGAGCCATTTAAAAAACAAATTCAGATGGTAAAGGAGAGAAAAAAGAGAAAAGGGCAAAGAAAAAGTTGAAAACAGAGGCCAATTTTTTTGAGCACTGACTTGTACTCACTCACTGTGGACATGTCATCAGTGTGTTAGAGGGGACATCATGTTTGGAGAAGTGGAGGAAGAAGGAAGCCCTCATTGAGAAGGACTGAGGCAGCTGTTGCTTGTGTCTTGTTAAATTCCAACTCATAGTGACCCTGTCTAGGATTTCCAAGGAGTGGCTGGTGGGATTGAACTGCCTACCTTGTGGTTCAAAGTGACCTTGCAGTCCAATGCTTGTCCTACAGGTACCACAGCAGCCATTGTTTATTCAAATATATTTTCTATCTTCTCTCTCTCAGGGACCCCAATTACACATATGTTAAACCTAGTGATGTTCTACAAGTCTTGAATGCTTAATTTTTCCATATTTTTCCCTATGACAATTTGGACAATATCTATTGACCTATTTTGAGTTAATTATTTTTAATTATGTCAATTCTGCTGTTAATTCCATCCAATGATTTTTTTATTTC